CTACCTAAAGGCAGTTGCCATTTATTGTCATACTTGTCCTATTGTTTTTCTTAGGTAAGTTAAATAGGAATTATTATATGTCTTGTCTTTATCAAATGTAGAATAATGAAAATGTGTGGAGGGAAATTATCTAGTGTCTGAAAACATGACATGTGTTGATTATGTGACTTTTTAATATCATGCTAGAGAATTTCTAATAAACCCACATGAGGAACATCTGACTCTGGGGAAATTTAACTTTGACTAATAATTGATTAGAACACAGTGATGTTTTACAGTTCTGTAGTTAGAGGTTAACTTGTAAGAAACTGATAAGGTGCAATAATTTTTGTATGACTAATGGAGAAGATAACTAACCCCAAAGGTCACTATTTTATTACCCTGCAGAGCATGAAAGAGGTTTGGCTCTAACGTAATCATATTTCAGCATTCCTTTGCCCATTCACTGTTCTCAAATTGTTTTCAAATCAGCTCTGTCATACTGTTGGTTCTTTCATTAACGATTAAATAAGCTCTGTTTATTGGTATGAGAATTATGTTTTTAATCTCTTAAGGGTATTAATCTTTTGTCATCATGTAAGTTCCAAATTTGTTGGCTAGTTATTTGTTAATAATTTAACTTATAATATTGTCAATGAAAAAACATCCAGCCTAGAGAAAGCTTATAAGAGTTTATTTGAGCCAAACTGAGGACAATTGCCAGGAAGCAAAGTCTCAATGGATTGAGAAAATGCTCCGGAAATTGGCAGTTTTGCAATGTATTTTATACATTAGAATCAAAGGAGGAGGGTTACATGAAATCAATTGGTTGTAGATTAAGGGGATGGGAGAAAGCAAAGCGGGGAAATCTCTGGGATTGGCTAAAAAGCAAAATGGAGAGACACACACGTCTTTTACATTGGTGTGTACAGGATAGTTAATAGCGTTTTACAGCACATAGAGATGGTATTTAAGGAGCAAGATAATGAGGGATTTTGTAGTTTCCTGCTCTGGTGTGATGGGTTATGCCCCCTGGGGGGCCTGGAAAAAGAGATTACTCTGATATTGCAAGGGTATGTTATCTTAGATGCAAAAAGACAACAGACAGGCTCACTTAAGGTAAAAAGATTGACCTTTGTCAAGGAAGCCACAGGCCAAGGATGTGACTACCGGCCCCACTTTGAGTTAGGAATTTTTATGTTCTCGCCATCCTTTGTGGTCATTTTCAGTCTCCTGAGCTTGTGAGGTTTAACATGTGGCCCCTTTTCTGTCCACATAGGCTGTAGAGAGAGGGCCCTGTGTTTTCAGAAAAGTAAGTGAATATTTATTTGTGAGCAAGAACAATTAATAGTCTTCAATGTCTACAGTGAAAGAAGGGATGTAACTTAACATGCTGTCAGGAAAAAGCCTGCTACTTCACTTTTTCTTCATCTATCTAGTGGACTCCTGTACCAGAGGACCGACCTTTAAGGATGCTTCTAGTTCTGATTTGGAAACTGAGTTACTGCTCTTCCAGGGCTCACATATTGCAATAAGGGGGCTGGGCAGGGGCTTGTGAGATCATGCTCAGGAGAGTGAAATAAACAAGACAGTAAGTGAAATACAAACACACACAAGAGTCTTGAGAGGAGCTTGAAAGGAGCCCAGCTGAAGAGCCCAGGTAGACTGTAAAATATAACTAATGGCTTTTCTGAGTCAGAGAATCTCCTGTCTCGAATCCCAGGCAGAAGATCAAGAGAATCATGGCAGCTTTTCAGCTGCTCAATTCTCTTAACAACTCTCCTAGGTAAAATTCCAGGAGCTTTGGTCTGTCTGCAGATTTGTTGCCTTTGACGTACTGCTTTTCTATTAGCAAGGGAGCCTTGCAAAATCAAACACCCTGTGATCAGAAACGTCATAGTGTGTAATGGGGTTCCAGCTGCTTCCAGATCAAAGTTACATTTAGAAGTGGACTTAATGTATTGCCAAGTAATGGCCTGTTTCAATTCAAATGCAATTCTACAAATATGGATTGAGAATTGGAAGCAGGAAGAGTGAGGTAGCTATTACAATACAAATGAGATGATGGAGGCTGGGACAAGAATGATAGAAACATGGTGGTGAGAATAGACAGTCTGGAATATTTTGAAGGTAGAGCCAAAAAAATATAGATGGATCAAATCTGTGGTGTGAGCGAGTCCAGGGTGATTCTGAAGGCTTTGGACTATGCATATGAAAGAAGGAAGTTGTCCTTAACTAAGATGGGAAAGCTGTGGAAGGAACAAGGTTGAGGCAGGAAATCAGAACAGCTCAGTTTGGACGTGTTAAGTTTGAGGTGACTATTAGACATCCAGGTAGGTACTCACATGGGCCATTGAGCCCCCTTCAGGGGTGGGGTCTGGGATGAAGATATAAATGTGGGCGACCAGCATATGGATAATATTAAAAACTATTGGGCTAGATAAGCCACTTGGGAGTGAAGGTAGAAAAGAGACCAAACCCAGAGAGAAGGGGCAGGCCACTATCTAGTGATTGGAGAGATGAGGAATCAACAGAGGAAAGGAAGAACGAGCAGCCAGTGAGGAAGGTCCTCTTAGGGTCTTTATTATTCTCTAAGTTAGAGTGCACATTCTAGAAGAGGTAGAAAGTCATAAGTAAACAAATAAAATGTATGTTGGATGGTTATAAACAAGGTGATCCAAGT